CTCCTGACTCCTCCTCCTCCTCCTCTTCGTCATCATCATCATCATCATCATCATCATCATTGTGGACTACATGAGGATTGTATGCTCGGACATTCTCACCATCATGCATCTCAAATTCCATCTTCTTCAGGGATGTAACTGTGTAGAACTCCTGCCTTGTGACTCTTAACCCAACCTCTTCACTTAAATTCACACTAAAATGCTCAAATAGCAGAGTCAAGAGCATCCCATAGGAAAGATTCCTACTTGAACTCTCTGCAATAGAAAACATGTGTTTAAATATCAAGTATGGCAAGTTCACCTGCTCATGTTAAAGCAGGTTGGTGAGGAGTTCCATGTCAAAGTATGTGACTGCCTCCCGATGTCCACCCTTTGGAAGAATGTTGTAGGAGAGCATGTGGTGAAGAAATCTGGCTTGCACTATGAGCTGGCGAATAGTTGGCCTATTGCGATCCTCAACATCTTCCACTTCAGCAAGATCACATACAATCTGAATTTGCCAGGCTCTCGAGAAATGAGTTTCATTCCAATAATTTTAAGAATCTATTCTCTTCTCCTAGTTTGGAGCCTCCGGTACTGCTGCCAACACACTCTTGCTTATACGCATCTCCACCCCATTCACATAGTTTCTAAAACCATGAATCGATCTATTTGCAGAATGGTGATAGGCGATGTTGTTGTAGAAGTACTGTACCATTTTTGGGTAGTATGCTACATCGAGTGATATCACCTTCAGCCAATTTTGTTCTACAAATGGTTCCAGGAACTCGTAAGTTTATAAATGTGCATACGCGTTAGTCGTCAATGGCCTTCCAGGAGCCACCCTGCGGTTGTGCATTCTCCTATCTTCATATCTGCCACTCTCCTCCTTGGTTTAGAACAGAGTTGGGTTGAAATCTTCCCATTCGCAACTTGAGGAACCGGTTTGTCTAAAAATCTTTTCTTCTTTCCTCGAAACATCCTAACATCAAAGAAGCGACAATTCAAGTTCGCCAAATGACGAAACCAAACAGACTCGATCGACCTATCTCTAAACATGTCGACCTATACTCTGCATGCATAAACGAAATAGAAAATCAATAGGTCGACCTCAACCAAACTAGGTCGACCTTTGTTTGCAAGCACAAGTGATCACTTAAATCCATGAAAGTTATTGTCAGTGGTTTGCACGTATCAACAACTATCCCATCCTAAGCCAAGTTTAACCTAGGATGACATTGCTGTATAGTGGTAATTAAGGTCATATTCTACTCGGGTCTTGGTACCCTAGCCTACTTCCTACCATTTTGTTAATTAGGTAATCAGTTTTTGAGGTTTTGAGTGGAGGATATGAGGAAACACTAGTCTAGAGGATATGAGTGGAATACTCCATAAAAGAGTGAAGAAGATGCATGGTAGAAATAGAAGAAGACTTGAAGTTGGGGAAGATCCTCCTTGCCCCTAGCTCCTCCTTCTTCTCCTTATCTTCTTCTCCCTCCAACTTCTCTCTCTAGATCTAGAAATTTCACCCAAAATTAGCTCTCTTAAAATGGGGAAAGGGGTCTTCTATTTATAGGCATTTTGGACTCGCGGAAGTTCGAGACCTGAGGCTGGGAGATCGCGGGCGGGATCTTCTGAGGATAGGCCGCAATCTCAATACAACATCTTCATGACCTTCTAAAGGGGTAAGATAGCTAGCTGACTTTGTGGTCGCGATCCTCGAGTCGTGACCATGATCTTCCTCGTGGGCAAAGTGAACATTGGCCGTGATGCGACTGTGGAAACTCTTTGCTTTTCCAATGCTCCTTATCGCGAAGTTCATGTCTTGGGCCTTCAAGATCGCAGTCGCGATATTTGGCTTCTGGGCCGCGATCTTCAGCGAGTCCTTACGACTGGGAATCCCGGCCCTGATATTTGTCTTATAGGACACGATCTTTGATCCTTGCCCCTTTTCTACACTTGTGACCTTGTTTTGTACCTAATTTGCACATATTGACTAATAAAACCAATAATCACATCAAAATCAAATAGGAACGAAATAGGGATATATTTGACAATGTTTAAACGCTTAAGCACATGAATTTGCACAAAACATTCCTTAAGATGGAGAGTAAATAACAGCGATTTTGGTGTTATCAAACTCCCCCACACTTAGGCGTTTGCTTGTCCCCAAGCAAACCTACTCAAACCTAATGCAATATGATAAATGAATTAATGAGGCATGCATGCTAGTTCTTCATTGCATAGATAAGAGTATAGATGGATGAATGAACGTGACTCCCTACGACACAACACCAAATTGCGATCAATTGTAATCGCAAAATGGAAACGCAGTATAGTGGAATCAAGTAATAAATATCAACCCATGGCCTAGATGTACTGCCTACTCCGTGATTATCTATTATCTAGCGGGACTAAGTTTAGTGAAAATGAGTTTAAACTAAAGCAGAAAAAAGCAGTAAATTATCCGGTAATCTGAAGCAAGAGAAGAGTCACTCGGGAATGAGTCCCCTAGTTCCTTAACACATGGAACTAGTTTTACTTCATACCCAAGTGAGAGAAAGTGCTACTCCACAGTGAAAGAGTAGAAAACAACAATCAGAGGAATCATACTCATAATGATTTGTATGATAAGCTCCGAGATAATAATCTTCACTCCAAGGACGAAATCCAAGTTTCATTGATGAAACCCAGCTCCATAATTGATCCTAGGGTTTGTTCTTCACACTTTCTATCTCTAGGACTCAGTTTTTCTCTTAAAATTCTATCCCCCTCTCAAAGACCCAAAATTGGGTTAAAACCCAGAAAATCATGACCACACGACCGTGTAGAAATCCAGTATGCCCGTGTAACTCCCAAAATGCGGAGTTGCACTTAGTTGGCCAAAGAAAGTCACACGGCCAGACCACACAGCCATGTGAAAGTGAGCATTGCTCGTGTAGACCCCCTGGACATTGTGTACGGCCAAAAAGTGTCCTTGCACTAGGGGTGGGCAAACGGTTCGGTAAACCCGAACCGAAACCGAATTAAACCGAACCAAAACCAAATTAATGCTATTCGGTTCGGAATTCGGAAGGAAAATATAGATAGTTCGGAAACCAGAGTTCTTTCAACCGAACCGAATTTCCGACTAAAAAACCGAAATACTATAATTGCAAGCTCCAAATGGTAGATTTTTATGTTTGTAGTTGTTTTTAGACTTAAATATTTGAAATGTTTTATGACTTTTGTGTTGAAAAGTTTGATTTTGTCATTGATGATGCATATAATTGATAATTATTGTTTATATTAGGGGTGAAAAATAATTTAAAAGTGAGAAAATACAAGTAGCTTCACAAATTCGGTTTTGGGTGAAAACCGAACCAAATTATAATTCGGTTTAAATCGACCGAACCGAATAAAAATTTGGTTCGAATTCGGTTTGAGGTTTGGGAGAATTTGGGGACCCGGTATTCATAATTTCGGTTCGTTCGAAATCAAACCGACCGAATGCCCACCCCTACCTTGCACAGCCAGTACGACCTTGGGCGCGTAAAAATCAGATACACGGCCACACCGTACAGCCTCGTAGAATTGGCTCTTGCCCTCGCACGACCATGTTGCACGGCCACGTGAAATCATGAGTTGGCCGTGTGAAATCCTCAGCTTTCCGTCAAACGTCCCAACTTCGTCCAATCGACCCCGAACTTGTGCCCAAGTCTTCATTCACGTACTAGGACCTGAAATATCACAAACAAGAACAACCTAGCATAAAATAGGCCAAGACACCACAAATTCGAGCCAAAAGAGTTAAGAAACAAGGGTGCAAACATGTGCAAATATGGAGCTATTAGAACGTTACTACCTTCCTACTGCGCAAGCACAAACTCTCGTGTGAGGACCATATTTTCTATTTTTAAGCACAAATTGAAAAAGTTCCTAGTTCACATAAAAGGAGAGAATCCCACACACAATGCCTTCCTAAGATAGCAAACCCTATTGACTCACACTAGAGGAGGAAAGTAGTAAAATACCTCACGTACCGATACTCAAACCATGCAACTATCAGCTAAGATGCACAACATATCAATCAATCTAGTCAAATCAAAACACATCGAGTAGGTAATTGCAAGGACAAGGTGTTTTGGAACCCTCAAATTTGTAAAAATTTGGGTGTGGGTGTGCATTCAAGGTTCCAAAAACACTAATACTTCACCATTCATCACCACAACAAAGGTATGATCACTAGCATACACTCCTATAAGCATTCATCAACGTCTTACATTCACGAACAAGGGAGGATACTAGCAATAAACCGTTGCACCAATCATGATAAACATTCAAACATGCACAAACATCCCCCCCCCCCCCCCACACACACACACTTGAGCAACACATTGTCCTCAATGTGGTAGTTCACAAAGAAAAGATCGTTAATGTTACCATAGGTCGGGTTGTGGTTTGGTGAAGGTTCACAAGTGTAGTCTTTGTCTTACTGGTGGTTTTCACAACAATAAAGCGCATATGATAGAGAGGAAGACGAATAGGAGTTATAAGTACGATAAATATATATAATAAGTACTATTACTACTACCGATAGAATATTTAAGGTACGAAAAGGTAAAATGAAAATAAAGCGATAATTAAAATTTTTTTTAATTTAAATAAAGAAAAGCAAAGAAAAAGAAAAGATAGAACTTAGGCCCTAGAACCCATTCCTCCTCGGAGTTGTCATTAGGATCACAGTCGTCCTCCGAGACAAGATGATCACCAACTGATGGGGGTGAAAGAGGGAAGTCTTGCTCAACTTTGCTCGGGTCCATGTGCATCTTCTTCATTATCATGTGGACCGCTCGCAGGAGGTGGCGCCTAGACCGCCTCTCACGCTTCAAAATGAAACGAGCCTCTTTGTGATCCTCAATCAGCTTGCCATTCTGTGTGATGAGGATGGCATTCTGCTTGATGAGAGTTGTTATCTTCGATGCCTGAGAGTCTAAGGATGAGGAGGATGGTGCAGGTGCTTGAATTTGAACTCCGAGTGGTCAAGGAATTATGCCCTTGATGGTCTTCTTGTTGTTGGTGACCTCCAAAAATTGCATCTTGGTTAGGTTATCCCTAGTGAACAGCTGAGTGGAGCGGATGGTTGTGCACTTGCATTCTTCCAAATTGATTCTGAAGTAGCGTGCAAGGCGAGTAACATATGCTCCTCCATGGATCGTCTTCATTGTCAAGTTGGTTATGTTCTTGTAAAGGGTTTTGAGGATGACCAACCCAAGGTTCAAGTATTGCTTGACGAACATTGACCTTAGAAGATTGAGGTCTCTCTTAGTGAGGTTGCTAGCGGATTTTTCCTTAGGCGCGACAGCATATGAGATGATGTTGAGGAGGATTCACCATTCGGGTTTCAAGGATGTACTCTTAGTGGATTTGGGGTTGAAAACTATTGGTGCTCTAACCTTTAAAGGTGATTAGTGAAGAAGTCCTCTGGGTGGTGACAAGAAATCAACTCTTCTCCACGAAGTGCAAGGCCTTCTTGAAGCTCATAACCCTCGGTATACCTCCAAGGATTAAAGAGAGAGTTATGAGAAAATCGCTATTGATGGTGAGCACCGAACAAGTTAATGTAGTCAAGAATTCGAGTGTTGGTTCGACATAGATCTTCTTGTTGATATCGTCAAAAGATTGAGCCATGCCGGGTCTTGGATGAGATCTTGAATAGGTGCAGTGGGTTCAAATTCCTCCAAAGATTCCCAAAAGATGCTACGATGTTCACCAAATGTTCTTGGGTAAAAGTGTGCATACTCGGCCTTGTCCTTGTCCCCGAACTCAAGATATGGGTGAGGTGCCCTTTTCCCACCCTTGATCGAAATTTATGACTCAGGCACTTTCTTCGATTTTCCCATCCTTAACTAAGCTTAAAACTTATCATGAGAAAAGCAGTCAAAATCAGGATTTTACCTAAAATCGAAAATTGTGGTAAAATCGGAATCGCAAAATAGAATCATAGAATCGTAGGATTTTAAGTACCACATAGAAATAAATATATAATAATATTAATAAGGTAAATCATTAATAACACAAAGACATATAACATTTCAAGTTATAATTTTCAAGATTAATGTTCCCAAATCATCATTTTAATTGTCATTTAATGCGTAACTCAAAATAATTTATGAGGAAGGGAGAGAGCTCATGGGGTTTGGCTCTTGTTTTTCATTTTGTGTCTAGATAGTTTAACTCAAATTAGTATTTCAACATCGTCTACCAAGCATGATTTAAAACTAAGAATAAGTGAACTCTAATAAGAATTTTAATGCCATTGGTTTGGTGCAAATATATTCATTAATCAATTAATTTGTTAATAATAATGTTAAGTACTTACAACATTATGACAACTATTTTACCGAGTTAAACAAGGAAAGGGAAAGGGGTTGACCGAACCCTAATTAGGTTTTTTTTCATTTTCAAATGTTCTTTTAATAGAAAAAATATTTGAGAACATCCTCATCATTGCACTTTCAACCAAAAAAGTTTTACTTCTTTTGAATTGGCTCAAACTGCCAATTTTGTTCACATAGGCCGAAATCTCGATGTACGATTTTAACGATTTAAATCCCGATTTTGAATGATTTTAAGGTCCACCGATTTTATAGTAAAATCAGGATCGGAATCCCTAAGTAAAATCCTAAAATCCTACGATTTTACGATCAAAATCCCGATTTTGACTGCATTGATCATTAGCACAAAAATGGAAAGTTAGTGAAAACGAGGAAGCGCCATGAGTACAAGAGATAATAGGAAGAGTAGAGAGGGGGAAACTTAAAGAGCATAACAAAGATGAAAAGGGCTCCCTTCTACTCCTACTTTGTTCTCTAAGACATTTGAACCAACACCTTGTGGGCACACGAATAAGACAACTTGAATGTAAGGAGTTCAAATAAATAAAGTACTATCATGGAAGAAATGAACCTCAAAGGATCAAACAAGTCAATGTTGGGCCAAAAATGCCAGTAGAAAAGTGGTAATGAAGTACTTTACCCCAAGTCTTGATAAGCACAAGTCAAGGTGAAGATCTTCCTAAAGCTTAAGAATGAGAAGAAACCTCTTACCTTGAAGAATAGGGAATTGGAAAGATTCTTTCTTGAATTAGCACAACCCAAATCAACACTAACCTCCCATTCAAACCTTTTCAAAGTGGGTGGTGGAGAATGACTCTAGTTGAGAGCACAACTAAAGAGTGGTGGGAGTTGTGTGTGTGTGTGTGTGGGGGGGGGGGGGGGGGGGGGGGGGAAGAGAGAATAAATCGCACAGTCCACACATTGCTGTTTAAGCTGTGAGGACGGGCAAGATCGCGGGCTAGCACTCGCGGCTGCGATCATTCCCTTGAGGGCCGCGATCTTAAACATTCATAGAACACCCCCACTAACTTGAGAAGCCAACACAATTCTAGGGGCTTAATCTAATTTATTCTACTATAAAGTTTATTTGAAAAGGTAAGGTATAAGAAAACAAACCGAAGTGATGGGGTACCTCCTAAGTCTTAACAATTGCGTCTTTGAAGTCTTTTTGTCGGACCTTAAGATCAAATGGGTGTCCTCAAGTGGAAGGATCTCCCTCACCTTGGATAGCATCGTCCAACTCACCCTTGTAGTGCAGGCCCAAATGTAGACCGTGAAGCCGATCAGTACCCCTTCTCGTTGTTGATCCGGCAAGGTCCTTCGTCATGGTATCATAGTTGAGAATTGGAGGATGGGTAATCTCCTTGAAGCGTTGTTTATGGATTTGACAAGTCATCGCCTCTTCCTCTAGGAGTGTTACCTTGCTCTCATGGGAGGGTGGTATGGGATCAATCCTCAAATCTAAAATGGTTGGAGAAGCTTGACTGTTTGTGGGTCCCATCCCTTCATGCAGCATAATGAGGTTGAAGACCCACGACAGTCAATTGATAGGTATATTACCATATTGTCTTCTCCATACTCGAAAATCACTCGTCTTTCCGAAACTTCAATCACCGCCCTTGCGGATGCCAAGAAGGTTTTTCCAAGTAGGAGATGGGTCAAAATGTTTGCTTCCGCCACTATCACCACAAAGTCCACTGGGTAAACAAATGACCCAACTCTCACTAGAATGTTTTCAACAATCCCCTTCGGGTATGATATTGAGTCATTGGGCAATTTGATGGTCGTATCTGACGGTCTCAAACTTGGTAATTTCAACTTCCTATATGTCTCAAAGCTGATGAGATTGAAGTCTAAGAATAGATCCACAAATACTTCCTTGAAGGTGGATCCCTTAATTGCACATTGAATGGTAAACAGACATAGATCGCTCCTCTCGATTGGTGCATGGTGTTCCACAAACACCGGATAGGCTTGTCCTATATCCACAATTGGGTGCTCTTCAAACTCCCACTTAGTGGCCACGAGATGTTGAATGCGGTTGACACAAGTAAAGAGTGTTGAAACACTTTGGATTTCTGGCATAGCCATAGATACTTCTTTTGCTACCTCCTCCTCTCTTTCCTCAATCAAAATTCAAATTAGGATTGACTGTTATAGCATATGGCTTGATCGTTAATTCACTTCTTGGTGGAGGGTTCTTCTGCTCCCCGGACTTCTGATTCCCCTCTCTGACCATTTATTCCAATAGCCCAAGGGAACTAGACAAAAGCTTGAAGGAGCTCACCAGTACCTTGGTTTCTATTCTCATTGAATCTACGTGAACTATGGAAGCATGGAAAAATCGATTGAAGTCATTCATTCGCTGATGTGAAATTGAGACCCAATCAGAGACTCTCTCCTCTAATCGCTCGAACTGTCGTCTCAAATCCCAACAGGCGGCACACTTTTCAATTATTGTGTGATCTCGATGTTGCTCCAAAGAAGGGGAAGAGACACTGGAATGAGGAGGCAACCTTGCCTTCATAGCAAAGGCTTGCTCTACCCGAGGTGGATCGGCATTGGTTGCTTCATTTAGTCTCTCAAGTTCCTTGACAATCTCGTTTATCTGACCTTGAATAGCAAGTTCTTGAATATGATGTTCTTACTCCCGTTTGATGTAATTGCACAACTCCTCCACTTTCTCCTGATCATTGTATTGAAAACTGGTGGGATATCTTCTCTCGATCAACCCCTTGAAGGTGTAGGAAAACCTCTTGTACAAGATTGTGTTGAGCTGCTCGTCAGAATATACATGGCTTGGGCTTCTTTCCACCAACTCCTTAAATCTTTCCAAAACTTGTTGAAAAGTTTCTTGGTTCTCTTGTTGAAACATGTCAATCTCCTTCGTTGCAGGACGACCATTGTTCCAACAAGATACCGAAACACAAATGCTTCCATGACTTGGCCCCAGGAGGGAGCAGTGGATATGAACTCTTTGTACCAAACTGCTGGGTCTCCTAGAAGGGTGTAAGTGAAGAAGATGATGTTCAATTAATCTTGAGTGAATCCCGAAATCTTTAACCCTTTGACCTCCTTTAAGAAGTAGGCCATATGATCTATTTCACTTTCATCATCTTTTCCGTGAAATTGCGATTTCCGGCAGAGCATATCAATAGTTTCCTCAGCAATATGCCTTAGCTCGGATGGATCCATGGAAAATTCTATTTACGCACAAAAACTTCCACAATCCATGACGTATGAAGTTGGATAGCAATACAAACAAGGACACCACTATGAAAGCAAAATACGAAACGAAAGCACAACACAAAACAAAACGAAATAAACCAACAACACAAACACAACACAAAACAAACAACTAAAGCAAGATAAAAACTAACTAACAACTTAATGGGTTTCTACTAGTTTCCAAGGTTCCCCGGCAACAACGCCAAAAAGCTTGATCACTTGAATCTGTGCATATTAATGTTAGTGGTTTGCACGTATCAATAACTATCCTAAGCCATGTTTTACTTAGGACGACATTGTCGTATAGTGGTAATCAAGGTCGTATTCTACTCAGGTCCTGGTAGCCTAGCCTAATTCCCACCTTTTTGTTAATTAGGTAATCGGTTTTTGAGATTTTGAGTGAAAGATATGAGGAAACACTAGTCTAGAGGTTGATCAAAGCTAAAACCGGGTACTTTGGGGAACTAATCCTCCCCCTAGCTTAGGGATACTATGCATGTATATATACTCAGGGTTATCGAATGTGGTGAGTGACCTCTTTTCTGTGGGCCTTCGTCGTTATCCACACGTCTCCGAGTACGCCTCCCCCAAACCCATATTTCAGTCACCTTGATCTAGGTTATCGTATCTAGAGCATTAAGCTTATGGCTCATTTCAATGGACACTATCTACTA